CTACCACCAGGCAAAGGGAACTGTAAATCCTAAAGACAGCTCTGCCCTCCAGCGACCTAGGTAATTGTCACACGGGAAGGCAGTGCTCCTGCACCGACAGGAAGAACTCTTCTGTACACGGAGGCTGTTTCTACCCCAGCAATGGGCACCCGAGGCTAGTGAGCCTCCATCTCTGGGCCACAAGATTGTTGTAACCAAGACGGTCTTCCCGAAAAGGGTTGTTTTGCTCACGGCGCTTGCGGGCCTGGCATTTGCAGGGGGTGCCGACTGAACCGTGGCAGCGCTGTGATTGGAGGCAAAGGGGGTGCACGGCTCTCCCAGTCAGTGCGGTGCGCAATCAGCCTGCACCCCACGTCCCATGCCTTTGCTTTACGTGCGTGTTATGTTAGTAACACCAGTAGGAAAAAACAACGTGGACAGAAACCGCGGAATCCGGCACCCGCGAGCGATGGTAAACAGACGGTCTCACGGGCCATGTGTAGAACCCCGAGGGGCTGCATACAGCCCCCAGGTTGCCCACCACGGAGCTGCACTATGGGGCCATAACGACACCGCTATCCCCCCTTCCCAGTGTAGACATGGTTGTGCTCCCTAACTCCTCCCTGCAGAGCCAGACCTCAAAGCTTTAACTCGTCTCTCCAGGGGTTGTGCGTTGGCACAGTGCTTAGCACAACTGTGCCCAGCCTGGCTAAGGCCTTGAGGGACTATTGCAATGTAAACAGCAGAACACCGCAACTGAGCGGAGACCCAGCCCTGCCAGACGGAGGTAAAGGAGACACGCCAGGCCTGTATGCAGGGTGGGTGTGTGCGCGAAGGGTGCAACCCCGCCCCCAGCAAGATCCCCCAAGGAAGCATGCTCCAGCTGGCTAGGGGCAGACAAGCCTCCCTCCTCCATGCTCTGGCCGGCCGGGGGAAGGCTGGGGCTAATATCCCTGCTTACTTGGGGGGCCATGGGGGTGCATTCACACCTTTGTGGTCCACATTTCCAAAAAAAGCACCCCTCCACCTGAGGTGAATACCCTGGTGCCTGTCCCAAGGCCCCTGTGCACACAGGACCCCTGCAGCTCTGTGGAGGATGGGGAGGAGAGAAGGGATGTTTGGCAAGACCTGCTCTGGGAATGATTCTGAGGCCTGTTTTCAACACTAGATGCCTGCAGGAGATTTCAAGGCCAGAAGGACCTAGGGAGAACCTGCCACGAGCCTTCCCAGGCTGATTGGAGACCCCCCCTGCCCATGTGCCTCAAAAGGTTCATCAGGGACAGCCCCTTGACCCCTCTGCAACCCTGGGGAAGGGGTAACCCTACACTTTCCAGCGTGGGGAAGAGTAGGAGGAGATGCAAGAGCACCTTCCTGAATTTGCAGAGACCTTTCCAATGCCTCTGCTGCAGAGCCCGGTTCTTCTCCAGCAGCAGACGAGGCCCGTCAGTTTCAAGCATTTAGACTCAGCACCACAGGGAAACTCAAGAACAAGGTCATGTTCCTGCAGCAGGGAGGGCACCAGACACGAGATGGGAAGAAGAACAGCGGCACCCCCTCCCCCCCCGCCTGCAATGGGCAGGAAGCTCTCCAGATGAGCAGACCCTGGCTGATAGTTCCAAATCTCTGGGAACGTTTCCCTAGCCCTGTTTATAAAACAGAGATTAGATTCCTCTTCGCCTGTCGGGAACGGCTAAGATAGTCCTTCGTCCTGCCGTGAGGGCAGGAGACTGGACTCGATGTCCATTCCAGTCCTACGATTCATCTGAGTAGTACCAGAATGCACAGCAGCATGAGCTATTAGCTTCCAGATTGAAGTATGTGGGGTACTGCCTGCAAAGGGGTGTACAGGTTTTCGCCCTTTACTGTCTGTTTTATGGTCATCCACAAAGGAATTTTTCCCCCTCCTCTCTGTGAGAAATAATATCAGGAAACGTGACCTTACAACCTCATTCATATTCACTGCTGGGGAGAATCCTGCTTTGATTCTCTAATCCCATTTCCTGTACCTTTGTTTTAGTCTTTCATCACTTGATATTCAAGCAATATGGTGACAGGCAGCAGACCCAAAGGAAGAGTGCACAAATGCAGTGTGCATTAGATGCACAAGGCAAAATTGAGCAACTAAATTTTTGAGGGCAAAATTCACCCAGAAATACAGAGCCACTGATTCCCATTGTCAAACGGGGTTTATAAACTCACCCAGGAGGATTTATTTGTTTGACACATGCGGTCCCGAGTCTAAAGATACCCAAAATAGGGAACAGCGGGACTTATTGGACTGGGCAGTTATGACTATGCATACATACAGTCGGGAAGTTTTAATGGTGTACTGAGCTGGAAGCACAATTCAGAGTTGTTGGGGGGTTTTTTTGGGGGGGGGGGGGGGGGGAGAGAAAGAGATAATTTTCAGCTAAGAGAAATCGGCACTGCTCCATTTCTTGAAAGCCGAACAGGAGAAAACCTCTGAACATGTGGTTTTCACCACCCTCTGTATGAATAAATCCTGTTTACACTGCCACTCTGTCAGCAATCCAGATCCAACGGGAACTATGCAACCCAGCTAGTCACTTAACCCATTTCAACAATGTGCAATTTAACTCAAATAATGGTCCTCGACATAATATTAGTCATTTGGCCCTTGGGGACCAAGTTCATATTTACAGAAACATTTTATTGCTACATTAAGCCAGTCGCTTAGTGAAAAAGCTCCTCCAGTGCATTTTAATTACAGTACTCAAAACCTACATGCAGCTTTGCTGTATGTTGTCTCCAAGCCTTTGTATTAGACAATCCGCAGAAGAACACAACCCTCCCATGACAGGCACACGCAGATCCCAGCCCCCAGGAGAAAGGGAAGGAGATTCCCTACAAGCCCCGCTGCCCCCCGACTTAGTGTGTGCCACCCAAGTAAAAGCAGCTCTCTCCTGCCAAGCCCCAAACCAAGACACATCTGAACAAATCCCACCCTATGGGACACAAGAGAAGGGACAATGCCGACAGACTCTGTTTCTGTAATGCCCCTGGACAGAGCACTAGGGGCCCTTCTATTTGTCATGGGTCTGTGGCAAGGTTCTCCATAACGTCACGGCATCCTGGTGTAAAACAACAGACGACAGACTTGGAGACAGACTCTGTTTCTGTAATGCCCCTGGACAGTACAATGCCGACAGACTTGGAGCAAAATGCAGGACAATGTAGCACTTTAAAGACTAACAAGATGGTTTATTAGATGATGAGCTTTATCCCGGCCCCCAGGAGAAAGGGAAGGAGATTCCCTACAAGTCCCGCTGCCCCCCGACTTAGTGTGTGCCACCCAAGTAAAAGCAGCTCTCTCCTGCCAAGCCCCAAACCAAGACACATCTGAACAAATCCCACCCTATGGGACACAAGAGAAGGGACAATGCCGACAGACTCTGTTTCTGTAATGCCCCTGGACAGAGCACTAGGGGCCCTTCTATTTGTCATGGGTCTGTGGCAAGGTTCTCCATAACGTCACGGCATCCTGGTGTAAAACAACAGACACTGGTCACCTGTGCGGAGCCAGGCTTGGGGTGGAGGCAGCTTTGGGTTGATAAAGTCTGAGCATTCTCCTGAT